CTGTTTCGATTAAACTACTTACGTACTTTGGCCTCACAGGTCTGTTGAGGACCTGCTTAGGGCAATCTCAGCCATCGAGGCTATGTTGCATGCGCCGTTCAAAATGTAGCCTTGCTCCTGAGCAGCACTTCAGTTACCCCTGCCTTTAAAATGATCCACTCCCTATCCAGTCCCACTCCCCACCAGAACTTTTTTCGTAGTTTGAAAATCAGAGAGGAATGAAACACTCTCCTCCAGCCTTCGTTACTGCGGGCCATTGAGTGGATTCTGACTCATGGTGGCCATGTGACAAAGTAGAACTGTCCCCGAGGGCTTTCCTGGCTGTAACTTTTATAGCAGCCGAGGGCTTGGCCTTTCTTCCACACAGCTGCTAACTGAGCTTGAAATCAACCTTTTGGCCAACAGACCAGTGCACTATCATTGAACCCCTGGGATTCCTCTCCAGTCATTTGTTAGGTCTTAATATTTACCGAGAAGATTGGAGCTGTGGGTGTGGTTGCATCTGATTTAATATATTGGAGTTTAAAACATACTTTATTGATCTTTTTTTGACCTCTCTTATGAGCCTCCTTCTCCCCAACTTCACCAAGCTAATTTACCCTTACCCTTCAGGCCACAACATAATTGCCTAATTGAAACTTAAATAATTTCCTTAAGTCATTGGCTAAATCAGGTCCTTTGTTTATACCAGCTGATCTCCTGTTCACACAATTTTAGTAATGATTTATACAATCACTTGTTTAATGCCTGTCTCTCTCAGTATTCTGTAAACTCTATGAGGGGAGGGACCATATTTGTCTTAGGCAGGCCTGTATTTCAGTGCCTAGCAGGGTCCAACATTCACAATAATAGTTGTTGAATTAATAAGTATCTTTGGTTTCCAAACAACTAGCACAATGCCTTGGAAGAATTGGCATTGTGGGAGCCTCTGTGATTGGCTATGTCAGTTCAGACCCCCTTTTAGGGGTAGAATATTTCTCTCCATCCCCTCTCTGCTGCTGGGAATGCTAATAATAGCAGCAACTCTCCACTGACCTTTCTATTTGGAGAGATGTCTCCACTAAACAGACGAGCTCAAACCATGTTTACTTTCAGGAGCAGTTTGTATTCAATGACTAATTAAATCTGGGACTTTTAAACCCAGCCCCTCAACCCAACTCAAAACCGGTAACCACTGAGTCCATTCTGACTTATGACAACACCATGTTCATCAGGGTAGAACTGTGCTCCATAGGGCTTCCAAATGCTGATATTTTGGGAACAGATTACTAGGTCATTCTTCCAACGCACCTTTTCATCGACTCAGATCTCTAACCCTCTGGGTAGTATCTGAATGCATTAACTATGGCACCACCCAGGGACTGCCATCCCAATTTTAAAACCAAACTAAACCAAACCATAAATTATGACCCAGGCCATCCTAGCTCTAGCGCTCCCCAGGGGCATTGAGGAGGCCTTGTTGGAATGGGATGGCATACCAACATCCCACTCTGCTAAATCCTGCTTCTGCTGCTTCCCTTTCACAGTTGTCGATGCCAAGAGCAATCTTTCATCATGTTTTGCATTCCAACCTTCACCTCAAACCTAATCCCTAGGTAGAAACCCAATCTGTAGATCACTGGTTGTGGTAGTTACATAATCTGTTGTCAATTTGAGAGGATTAAGATTGAAGGGGTGGAGTCTAGCCTGTCAATCAGGTCATAGCCAATGAGGCTTCTGTGTGGGCATGGCCTTCTCCTGAGGATTCTAGGAGCTCCTGAAGACACTCTCTTGGGCTCACTCCCTGTGAGACATTCTTGTTGACAAGCCACATGGAGACAGGCTGATGGCAGCCAGAGCCTTGGAGCTGGAGAAGCCACATGGAGACCTGTTCCAGTGCTGAGATGCTTACAACACCACTGGATCCACAAGATTTCCCACCCACTGGCATATGATCTTCCTGCATTCGGCCTCATTGCATGTGTTTTGTGAGTCTGAAGAGGACTTTATAGATTGGTATCAGACATATGGGCTAATATTGGACTTAGGGACTTGATCTGGACTGGGCTGGGATGTTTTCTTAATATTCAATTGCTCTTGTTTATAAAGCTCTTTCCTATACACAGGAGTCTCCTTGGATTTGTTTCTCTAGTCTACCTGGAATAACACACTGGTGGACCAGTGGTTAAAAGGGGTTGGCTGCTAAGAATGGTGGTTTGAAACCAGTGGTCATTCCAGAAGAGATAAAAATGATAGTGTGATTCTGTAAACATGTACAGCCTTGGTAACTCAATGAGGACTAGTTCTATTCTGCCCTACAGGGACCGTATAAGTCTGCAGCAAAGGTCTTTTGGTTTGGTTTGGTTTGGTTTGGTTTAGTTGTTAATGCAGCATGTGATGGGGAGGACCCCTAGGGCATAGTAGTTAGGCAGTAGGCTGCTAACCGCAAGATCAGCAGTTTAAAACCACACCCATGGGAGCGAAATGGGACTTTCTACTCATAAAGAGTTACAGACTTGGAAACCCACAGGGGTAGTTCTTCCTTGTCCTATAGGGTCATTAAGAGTCAGAACTGACCTGGTGACAATGAGCTTGGCTTAGTTCAGTTTTGAATGTGTGGTGTGTACTTCAAAAATGCTTATTGAACTGAATTAAATGTTATGTTCTGTCATAATAAACTACTAAACAGCAAAAACCAGTTCTTATCCTTGCAGACAATGCCCAGAAGGTATCTTGCACACATTGGGCAATGTGAAGACATCAAATGAAATGTTACTCAGAACCTAGTATAAATTGAGCCAAAGTCTTTCAGTGTAAAGTGTGTACAGTAAACGGCATGGGGGCCATATCTGACCTCTTCTGGCTTCCCTAGCGCCATAAGGTAGGGGCAAGACATGTTTCCACTTGCTATCCTTCTTGACATATTCCAACAGCAAGGGTTTCTCCCATGGCACTCTGCTACTGTGCTGCATTTGAACATTTGTTGCAATGGCCACACAAAACTCAAAAGACAACACTCACAAGTAAGAGGGTTTATTAGGGAAGTTCATAGGTTACCACAAATCATGATCGGCAAACAGTGAGGATCCAGTCATTGGTCCACGGCAACCCCTTTCCTCAGCCAGCAGCCAAGTCTCTCTCTGGTCATTCTCTCAGCTAAATGGGCCCTTGGCATTTGCCTGCCTGGGTCAGGAAGTCAGCCTGCCAGTTCTGACTCCCAGTCCCATAGTGTTGGGCCAGATGAGGAAGAGGTACCCATAGTCTCCATGAGGCTTCTCGTGGTCTCCAGTGCACCTGGTCTTGGCGGCATCCACCACTTTGACAGAGATCTTGGATGTACTTTTGCAAATGGTCCTGAGGTCTTTCTCTGTGTCCCAAATGGTTCTTACCTTTTGAGGAATGGTTTCGGTGGAGGTGTAGTTGGTCTTTTAGCCGACGATACCACCAAGGAAAACAAAGGACGGTGTCCTAAGTTCCACCCTGTACTGGTCTTAAAGGTGCCCTCAAGGAAACACAGGGTGTGACTCAGTTACTAAGGTCTGGGCTTCATTGCCATCATGTCAATTCTGACTCAGAGTGACCCTCTAAACAGGGTAGAATCCTCCCTGTAGGTTTCTGAGACTGAAAGTCTTTAGGGGAGTAGAAGACCTCATCTTTCTCTACGGGGGCATCTGGTGGTCTCAAACTGCTGACCGTGGGGCTAGCAGCCCAGCATGTAACCACCATGCTACCAGAGCTTAACCCCAGTGGGAAGGTTAGCACTTAACCCTACCTGAATCCTGTAACAGAGCTCCCTCCAAAATGGTACCCAAGGCACAGGCATAGAATCCAGAATGCACGTGAAAATTGGACATTGAATAAGGAGGACAGAACAAGAATGGATACCTTTGAATTGTGGAGCTAGAGAAGGTTATGAAAAGTTCCAGGGACTGCTCAAGGACAAAACGATCTGTGTGGGAAGAAGTGCCGTCAAAGCACTCCTTAGAAGTAAAGATGGCAAGGCTTTGTCTGACATGTGTTGCACATGTTATCAGGAGAGAAGGACATCATGCTCAGTAGCGGAGCAGCAGCGAAAAGCAGGAAGGCTGTGGGCCAGATTGCATCGACACAATGGCTGCATCAATGGGCGCAGGCATAGGAACAAGTGAGAGAAAGGCGCGGGACCGGGACGTGTTTCCTTCTGTTGTGCACAGAGGAGTCGTTCTGGGTCCGGAGACCCTAACACAATAAGGAGGCGGCTTGGTTCTGTCCTAAGGTAAGGATCTGTAACATCAGGACACTATAAAAACGCAAGACACTAAGAATCCGCTGAAGATTACTTTCTGCCAGTTCCTCACAAATCCGTGTCTTCCCAATAGTGACCACAGATTTCGGGCACTGACCCGCGGCACCCGGGTCTGCACCCTGGATTCTTTCACCTCCCCGCTTCCGCTGCCGCACCCACTGTTCTTGGTCGCCTCTCCCGAGTCGCATCACTTCTCAGCACTCGCCCCCGCTGCTAGTGCACGCCCCGCCTCCCTGCGTTCACTCCACGTCAAGTCCACGCCGGCCTCCCAGCGCCCCACCCCTCACCCCCGCACCCCGCCGCCCCGTCTCGAACGCCTACACGCCTTTCTCCTCCGCCCGCGCCCCGCTGGTCCTCCCTTCTCTGGTCTCCACCACGGGCGACTCCCGGCTCCGTGCGCGCCCCGCCCCCACAGCCCGCGCCGCTCAACTCGGGCCCCGCCCCGCCCCGCCTCGACGCCGTCGCCACGCCTCCACCCCCCGCGCCTCACTGCGTCCCCGCCCCCGTCTTCACCTTGCCTACGCCCAACGTGCGCTCCCTCGCCTCGCCTCCAGTGCTCAGGCCCAACTACTCCGCCCTCGCCCCGCCCTCGCCCCGCCTCCATCTCACGCTCCTCTCTGTTTCGGCCCGCCCCCACGCCTTAGCCCCGCCTCCACGCCTTAGCCCCGCCTCCACGCCCGTCCCTTCTCGCTAGCCGGAGTCGAAGTCCTGACAGAGGAAGTGACGCGAGGTGTGGACCGAGCGGTGGGACTCTGGCAGTCGCTCGGGGCCGCAGCCCATGTCGGTCGGGAGGGCATGGCTCCCTTCCTACTTCTCTTTGTCCTCGTCGTGCAGGCCCCGAGAGGAATTGAGACGGGCACTGCGGAACCGGAGCCGTCCTCGGGTACTGTCTCGCGGCGAGCCGCAGCTTGGAGTGCACGGGAGGGCCACGGGAGGGGCACGGGAGGAGCCGTCCGGGCCGGGAAGTCCCTCCCGCGGGTCCGCGCCCAGTTCCCGGCCGCGCCCGGCCGGGATCCCCGGTGTCGGCCCCGCGCCGGGGGCTGTCGGGGGGCAGCGGCTCCTGCGCTTGAATTCGCCGTCTTTGTTGTTTTCCGCTATTGCCAAAACAGCAGCGCTGCTCTGTGTCCAGTTCCTTCAGCCCGGTGTTCGATCAGCCTCGGTACCCTGTGGCCACAGCTACTTGGATGATTACCAAATCAAAGTCGTTGCCATTTTACAGCGACCGTGTGCAGGGCCGAGTCGCGCTACCGCTTTGGGTTTCTGAGGTGGTAAATCTTGAGCGGAGCAGGAAGCCTCACCTTTCTCCTGCAGAGGTGTTGGCGGTTTCCCACTGCTGGCCTTGTGGTTAGCAGCCCAAAGTGTAACCACCACGCCACCCGGCCTCCTGGAGGGTCCTTAGCAGCAGCAGTGTGTTCTGATTGAAGTCTGGACTTGGTGGAGCGAGGGCCGCTTCCCACCACACCCTGCTCCCCCATTTCCCTGCGTGCCTGTTGGCTTATTCAAATCCCCTAGGGAAGAAAGGCAGCGGAGAATAAGCTTTCTAGCTCAATGCAATGCAATCAATAAACCTTTTCTCTGAGGGTTAAACCCCTGGTGACCGCTGGTGGAGCTTTGGGCTGCTAACCACTCAGTTGGTGGTTCAAACCCACCAGCCACCGCATAGAAGAAAGCTGTGCCGTCTGGGAAGCTGTTAAGGGGGTCGTTAGGAGTTGAAAGGGTGCTCTGGTGGTATAGTAGCTTACACAGTGGGCAGTTTGAAACCACCAGCCGCTCAACTGGAGAAAGATGAGGCTTTATCAAGATTCCCAGCCTCGAAAACCCACAGGAGAAGTTCTACTCTGGCCAGGAGAGTCGCTGTGAAGTCGGAATCCATTCGAAAGCAATGAAAATGAGTTGGAATCCACTGGAAGGCAGTGGGTGTGACTTTGGGTTATGGGCAACCCCTGTCGCCTTGAGTGCCGCCCTCATTGTCCAGAGCTATAGGGAAGGAGGGCCTGGGGTAGGAGGGAGGTTTCAAACTGCCCCAGCTGCCTGTGGTGAACCCTCACGTTCCTACAAGAGCTCCTGCCTGATTTCATTTCCAGCTCTCCTTTTGGTTCTTGCTTTAAAGTAAATTAAAATAGATAAAGATGCAGTGATTCCCTGGGACGTATGTCAGGTGTAGGAATACAAAAGTGGTAGTACTGGACTCAAGTTTCTGCTTTCAAGGATACTGATAATAATAAGTAACATCAAGTAGAATCCTACGCATCGTGACCCTATCATAAGGTTTCCGAAGGATGTAAATCCTTAAGAAAGCAGAAAGTCTCACCTTTCTCTCCAAGAAGAGCTGGTAGATTTGTGTCTATCACCTTGTGGTGAGCAGCCCAACACCTACCCACAGCTTTCCCAGGTGCATGAATGATGTTAATAGGGTAGAGTTATTGTCTCAACAAAATGAGTGCCTAACATATCTGATTTTCACCACAACCTTGTTGAGTTGTCACCATTGATAGCACAGAGAGACACGGAGACATAGGTATGTCTGTCTGGCACAGTTGTAACATGTTGATCCCACAGTCCCAAGTTCACAATCACTCTGCAAAGGGCTATAACTTGCCCTAGTGGTGGCAGTTTGCAGAGTGATTGTGAACTTGGACTATGTAGCCAAGCTCAATCTGCCAGGAGGAGCCCTGGTAGTATAAAGGACCAGCTGCTTGGAACCACCAGCTGCTCCAAGGGATAAAGACAAGACTTTCTACTCCAGTGGTTCTCAACTTTCCTGATGCCATAACCCTTTAATACAGGTCCTCCTGTTGTGGTAACCCCCCAACCATAAAATTTTCATTGCTACTTCATCGCTGTCATTTTGCAACTGTTATGAATCGGGAGACCCCTCAAAGGGATCGCGACCCACAGGTTGAGAACCGCTGTTCTACTCCCATAAAGAGTTACCGTCTCACTCACAGGGACAGTTGACCCTGACCTGTAGAGCACTATGAGTCAGAATTGACTTGATGGCAGTTGAGTTGGTTTGGTTGGGGCAAGTTAGTCAACCACCGGGACAATTGCAACCCACTGTGCTAAGAGGTTTTTTGCACAGGCTACTGGCTCTAACTGGGGGAGTCGGGAAAGACTTCCCAGAGAGGTGAACCTAGTTAGAACTGGAAGTGTAGACAGATGTGTGAAATGTGAGGGGGCTTCAGATGAGTGTGGAAAGTTGGAATTAAAAGATAATGGACTTTTTCCATGAACTTTTTGGAGCCGTCTGTGGCGTGTGGAATTAATGGAATAGTAAGTGTTTTGTTGTAGATATATGAGGATACAAGGGGAAATGAGAACTGAATTCCTAAGCCAAACCCAAACCACTGCCATCGATTTGATTCCAACTCATAGCAACTTCAGACATGGTTTCTGAGGCTGTTAATCTTTATAGGTGCACAGAGCCTCATCTTTCTATTAAGGAGAAGTTGATGGATTTGAACTGTCAACCTTGAGGTTAGCAGTTCGGCAAATGGGTAAACACTCAAAAAAACAAAACAAAACTCACTGCCATTGATTTGTCTAATTCATAGCGACCCTGTAGGGCATAGTTGAACTGTCCCTTGGGTTTCCAAGGTTATGAATATATTTTGTGTGTTCATTTGAAACTAGGCCACAAAAAGCATTGAAGCCCATTTCAATTTTATTTTCCCTAATTTTGTAACCACTCAGACCAGTGTTCAGATCAGATGGGTAAAGAAACTGGTTTTCAAGGCTCTAATCTTCCTCTGTATGTTTCTCCTCCTTTTACTTGTGGAGCATGAAACACACAAAGGAAAGCGTACAAACCAGAGTCGCTGGGCCCATCTCCCCAGAACAGTGACTGCTCGCAGTAAGATTTCCCTTTCTTGTGGTTCATTCCATCCCCCCCTCCCCCCACTCTATCTCCTTAAACTGCCAGGGCTCCTTAGGTGAATGAGTAGGGACCAGTGGAAGAAAGATGAGGCTTTCTGCACAGTAAAGGTTCATCACCTCAGAAACCTCTGCACTGTCCCATAGGATTCCTGTGTGTTGGAATCCACTCATTGGCATCAAATTTTTTTGTTTTGTTTTGTTTTCCATGTTAACAAAATCACAAGGGAAGACTGGCTTGTCTAGTTTGGGCCAGCTGTCGGCTCATTTAAGGAGGGCATTGTTGCAGCGGCTGGGAGTGAAGAAGTTCCGGGAAGAAGAGGATTGTTGCTGAGACAGGTGTTGAGTCATATGCCCACGCTTGCTGAACTCCGTGGAATATTTTAGGAGGAGGATTTTATACTCTAGCAGTTGGCCATTTGTAAAAGGCCTCATATTACAAAATAGTTGGGAGGGAGACTCAAGGCAAGGAGAGTGGGTGGGAGAGAAGTAGAGAGGTGGCAGCTTCCAGGAAGAGGAGTAGTTGGATGGCAGTCAGCAGGATTTGGTGACAACAAGGAGGTGATGACAGCATTAAACCACATGTGGGTTCTTTGGAGGTCAGCACCATTGTGAATTCGGGGGTCCTGTGTAGCAGGCCTGTGGCATGGCCTGCCTGCCTCCTAGGGGAAAATCTACCACAACCTTCTCAGTGTAGCAGCTTATAAACATGGAAGTGTTCGAAGTACTCCTTCCCTCATGGTGGCTTTTCCAGTGGTTCTTTCTAGATTTTGTTTTAAAGTTAGTTTAAAATGCAAAATCTGCGATGAATAGGAGGAAACCATCCAATAACAGCAGCTTCTGCCTCTTGCTGGCCTCCCTTCTCACCAATGCCAGGCACTCAGGGCACTTGCACCAGGTCCACTCCTGTTCTACTGGGGTTTGGCTCTGTGGTGGGAAGTCGTCTGACTTTCGGATGGTGTTCTGGGGAGTGAGTAAACGTTCTTCTTATGTTCTTTGGGTTCTGCTTTTGTTTTCTGAGAGATTCAAAATGTGTTGAAGAAATCCATTTTATTTCTGTTTCTTGTATAGGGTATGGTCATTTTCTCTTTAATTTTATTCTGATGCATATCCCATAAGACAAGTGGTTCTCCGCCTTCCTGATGCCGCAACCCTTTCATACAGTTCGTCGTTGTGGTGACCCCCAACCATAACATTATTTTCATTGCTACTTCATCACTGTCATTTTGCTACTGTTATGAATCATAAATATCTGATATGCAGGGTATATTTTCGTTGTTACAAATTGAACATAATTAAAGCATAGTGATTAATCACAAAAATAATGTCATTATATATTGCGAAATATTTATTTCTAATGACAAATAAATAAAATTTTGTCTTGAAGCATGGTGTAGCGTGGGTAACAGTCTTCATGCCTGGTACTCATATGTGGGTATATCTGCGTGTGGGAGGACCCGCCTGGAGATGGATAGAGGAGCGGTGTCTCGGTTCCCAAGACCATCGGAAATATGTGTTTTCAGATGGCCCCCCAGAGACCCCTGTGAAAGGGTCATTCGACCCCCAAAGGGGTCACAACCCATAGGTTGAGAACCACTGCATAAGACCAATTTGAGCTTTCTATAAAAATGAGAAAAACAACCATTTTTAAATTAATTACCTTACAAAATTTGGCAGCACACATGACTAGTGTAGTTGTCTTACAGACCAAATGAAAATTTAATTCTCCCATTTTATTGGGCAAAGAGTCAATGAAATGAATTCCTGGCAAGAAGGATACATGCTTTTTTTTTTTTTTTGGATCATCTCTGCACATAGTAGTCTGGGTATCGGTTTCAGTTGGGCACATTTTTAAGAAGCCATTTATTTATTTGAAGACATTTTTCAGGTTGTACAATGGCCATCTCATCCTTGTGACAGAACAATGAAATCTGGCAGAATTATATGAAGCAGGTGCTTGTGCAGTTATCAGAAAGCCGTCAGCTCTAATTCTGATTTATACCTTGAACT